TATTTTTATTATATTTCTTCCATTACCATTTATCCCCCCCATACCCTCTTCCACCTCCGCCTGCTCTTCTCTCCCTCCTCCCGGCCACCACCTCACTGTTGTCTGTGCCCATGAGCTCTTTTCCTCTTTTGTTTGATCCCTCCACCACCACACCCAGCTGTCAGCAGGCTGTAGGTATTTATTATTTCTTCTGGGCCTTGTAAGGTAGAGCTTATGCTCTCTTTCTTTTTATTTTTTAAAAGATGTTATTTATTTATTCTTAGAGAGAGAGGGGAAGGGAAGGAGAAAGAGAGGGAGAGAAACATTGGTGTGTGAGAGAAACATCAGTTGGTTACCTCTAACACATGCCCTGACCGGGGACTGGGCCTGCAACCTAGGCATGTGCCCTGACTGGGAATCCTACTAGCAACCTTTCTTTTGCTTTGCAGGATGACGCCCAACCTACTGAGCTACACTGGACAGGGCACTCTCATTCATTTTAGCAACAAGCATCACATTGAGCCTCATTTATGGTCCTGACACTGTTTTAGGGGATGGAGATGCAGAGATGAGTAAGACAAAGCGCTTGCTGTCACGAAGCTTGCAGTAAAGATGGGGAGAATAAACTAAAAGCCAGATATGCTCAGTAATATGTATTTTAACAGAAGTATGCATTGTGTGCTGTTCTGAGAAAAGTCTGTGTATGTAAAGTGGTACCCAGATGCCAAAGGAGCCAAGAGACCAAAGAACAGAACAGACAAGTCCAGCTTGTTGGCTTAGAGTTTAATGAGGAACTTACATACAGAAATGGGTCTTAGGCAGCAGCAGGACATTATGATCTCTGCATCTTTCACCCTCTTGACCAGCGTGTGGATAGTCACGGGGAAACCAGACATGGGCAGGCCCTGGGGCCAGGGTGAGATAGTGAGATAGATAACATGTAGAGCTCCTTGCCCCAGAAGAAGTAGTAATGGAAGCTCTGTGACTAGCTGCAAACCTCTGTACACATTCCAGAGTCTACTCAGGGGTCAAAGCTCTGGACTCATTCACTCAGAAATTAAGCTGGTGTATTAGCTTGAAGCTGGATTCAGCTCTGTCCACACATGTGCTGTCATGACAGAGGACAGACCCCCATTCTACCTAAGGGACAGCATTCCAGGTCAGGAATGGTCTTTCCTAGGAACTTACATTTGAATGGACCAAGGAAGAGAGCATACCTGGTCATCAGGTTATAAGATATACCAAAGAAAGAGATTGATACTGGAAGGACTTGCCAGAAAGAGGAAGCAACATGTACAAAGACTCAGGAAGCAGGAGGGAGCATGAGTTCTTTAGGGAACAAGTGAGGGGCAAGCAGGAAACTGAGCTGCATGAGACTTGGAAAGGTAGGCAGCATTTGTACAGAGAGGTGCTTATGTGTTATACTGGGGGTTTATTCTGTCAGTGAGGAAGAGTGTCATTGCATTATTACAGGCAAGGAAATGAGTCACATGATCAGATTAGCATTTTAGAAAAATAATTATTGTGGTTATGTGGAATTCAGGCTAGAGGAAATGAAACACCAAGGAGACTTAGAAGTCTAGCACAGTAATAATAGCCAACATGTATTGAGCTCTTATGTGCCAGGCACTGACATAAACTTTAACTATTTAATTTCATATAATTCTCACTGCAACCTATGGCATGGTACTATTATTTTTTACCCCCCAAAATTAATTTAAATTTAAAATTTTATTTAAAAATTAATTTAAAAATTAAATTAATTTTGGGGGTAGCTAGGGAATTTGCCTAAGATCACACAAATAGTATATGGTAGAACTAAGATTTTAATGAAAGCTGAATGATTGCAAATAATAATCTTAATTACATTGCCATACTGCACCCCGAAAGTAATTTTAATGAAGGCTATTTAATTGTTTGCTGTGTGTAAGTATTCATTTAACCATTTATGTGTATTATTTTATGTAATCTAAATAATAAATGATTGCTTGTCAAGCACAGTGACAGGAGGCATGGAAGGAAGGGACTTCATTTGAGAATCAGGCAGAATTGTCTTGTTTTGCTGAAAAATTCAGTATTGGAGAATGCATGTGGGATGACTTCCTGTTCTGTAACTGGGACAACTGGGTGATATTTATGAGGACTAGGGAGAGGAGAAGGAACAGGTTTTGACAGGAAGGTTCTCAGTTTGTTTTGAATATGTGAAGTTTGAGGCACTAGTAGGACACCTAAGTAGTCCAATAGGGATCTGCAGTGAAGAGTCACTGGCCTGTGGGTAGTGTTGGAGGCCAGAAACAGGGATAATGAACACACAAGATCATTCTCTAAATAGGGTGTGGCCCAGGTGGTGAAATGAATTGAGTGTGACTTGTTATGTCAGCATGACCCCAGTGGTAGGGTGGACTCTTCTTGAGCTGTCTCCCAATCTGCCTGTTTTCCCCCTATTTGTTCTTGCCCTTGACACTCTAAAGACTTCTTTCACATGAGACAACCCCTGTTTTCTTAAATGACTCTTCTAAGCAATGGGTAAAACTTGCATTATTTTAGATATGCTGTTAGTGGTTTATAGCTACTGCTAGTTATTGTAATAATGCATTTTAACTGTTATTTTTCACTAAAACATATGCCTTCAGGATGCTTAAGCAAAGAGGACTCATGTAACAGTTTAATCTATGCAACAAATCTTAGATGATGAAAATGGAAACTCACAAATTTGGTTGCAAATATAGAGTTTGTTACAATAAATGCCTTGGAGAAAGTCCAAACTTTTGAAGAAAGGAAAGTGGTTCCTGTATAGTAGTAAGATAATAATTCTATGGAAATCACTAAGCTTACAAGGAAATGTTGGCTATCAGATATTATTAAATGCCACTTAGCATCTATTCTGCTTTAATGTTGCCAGATTGCTTTGAAGGAAACTTGGATTTTAGCCTTTTTTTTCCTCTTATGTTCTGTCAGCAAAGTATATTCTACATCCCTGAAATCTCTGTCAGACTTTGTCCTCCTTAAGAACAAGGCTTGTGTCTTGTTCACTGGTGTATCAATCCAAGTACTTTCTATGGTGAGTTCTAGAAACAATTTCTATGATGAAATGGATTCTTTCCACATTAGCCATCACTATTTATCTACACAGCAATTAGTAGTTATTTTTGGCTGCTAAAAGATGTATGCACTGCAACGTTTTGCTTTTAACCTCAATGAGTAAGGTCTTAGGTAATTTTATTTTAAGCTTACATTCACAGTTTTATTTTTTACCATAAAGGTTATTTGGCCTATATTCCCATTATTTCTTTTTCTTCCTCTTTAGACATTAAGAACCTATCTAAATAGCTGTTTATAAAGAAAAGAAAACTTCGAAAGCCCTTTAACATAGGAGTATGGAAAGGGCTCATCCAGTGACTAACTTTTGATATGAATCTGAGGGGTACATTGTTAATACAGATTTGCTTGTACTTAGGGAGGGGTGAAAGTGAACACTTGAGATTATGTTGCTGCCACCTCACAGTGACCACATGTACAAGAGAGAGCATCTTCACTTGCTTGAATTATAAGTGCTAGGGGACGGATGCAGGCTCTTATTTGATTATTTGGGCTTTCACTGTATCTACAAGACTCTCATTTCATCAGAGTCCCCAGTGACGTGAGCCATCAGTTTTTTCTCAAGCTAATCTGCTGGGGTTTCATTTTGTGGATAAGGTATTTCAGCGTGTTGTAAAGGGCTCCCTTAACATGCTCAGTGATTCATGGGGAGAGGGGTACAGACTTTCATACCAATAATGTGCAAAGACCAAATATGTATCTCCTTCTTATCAGGGGAAGGAAAGTGGCATATTATATGCCTAGACAATGAAAAAAATACTATGAAATACCAAATTACATGTTGACTTTTATACATACTCTTCAAGGATATGCTTCTATCATTTCAGATATCTTTTTTTGCTTTGGTTTTTCTCTCGCAGTTGAATCCAGCATGGACTCCCTTAAATTGAACAAGCACATGGTTGAGTCTAGAATGTTGCAGCTTTCAGTTTAACAAAAACTTTCTATCTTTGATTCCCTGGCATTAAGTTTATGAGATGTGTTTTTGTTTCTAATGACAGCACTCAATTGTTCTCTCCTTTGCCTTTATCCACTCCCTTTTCCTATTCCCTAATGACAAAGGCCAAGAAATCAACTCAGTCAGGTCTCACCATCGGGCTGATGCTAAAGAAGCACTTCTCCCAGTCACCAGCCAAAGAATGTACCTTGTTTTGTTCTCAGGCTAAACTATCTCCTTTGCAATCCATACTTCACCTCCATGTTTTGAAGGAAGAGTGCCTAAGACTTGATATACTTAGTATCACCATGTTTCACTCAGAAACTTTATCTTTCCTATTATTAATAACCAAATTTTTGTAACGTACCAAATGTATTTCTACAGAAAGTTCTGATTCATAGACTTAAGAATGCTAAGCTTTCTGAGAGTTCTGATTTAAAACTGTATGTATAGATTTTAATAATATTGAAGAAAAAAACCCTTTTTTTCCTTTTGAAAATTGTCAGGCCACTTAAACCACTTTCAACTGTTTTGTCCTAAAATCTGGTTGATTTTACTTTTATCTGCTTCTAAAAATGCTTTATTTCTTATTTTTAAAGTAATTTAGCATTAATTTTATTTTTAGAACTCTGCAGTTTTATAGACAAGTATTCTAGGTGTCCTATACATTTATGGTTCCATGCCATTTAGCAAGTGACAGCATGTATAATAAGACACATTTATTGTTGTTTTCAGAATAGAATACTTTGTTGATTTTGTCAAGACCCGATATCTATCACATAAATAATAGAAATGCACACTGTAATCAGATAAGTCTTAGAGACCCTCAAGCAAAGATGTGGTTACAGATGCAATTAACAGTTGTGCCTTCACAATTTTTGCTTAATTGATTAACAAAGATTTTTCTCTCACTTAGAAAAGTAGGGGAAAAGAGGAAGAGGCTCCGCTGCCATTTCTGACGGGAGTTGTTTTTCTCTAATGCTAGGCATGCAAGAAGCCTCGATGAAGCTCACCGAGTCGCTGCATGAAGTCTATGAGCCTGACTGGTATGGGCGGGAAGATGTGAAGATGGTTGGCGAGGTATGAGCCAGGATGGCAGCATACAGGAGGCCTTGGGGGCTTCTGCAAGGCTCCCACTGAGTTCTGCCCATTCAGCCTATTTCCTGACACCCTCTAACCACTTCTTGGCCTTAATCATGAGGGGATACCATGTACCCAAAAAGCACCATACAGATCTGCCACCCAGAGCATCCCAAATTCAGTGATTAGAGAACTGATTGTAAGACCACTTAGGTAGAGAGCTGTGTGTTAAAGATTATTTTTCCTCAAAATAAGAATAGCATTTTTCTGTCTCTTACTCCACATTCCAACGGTGTATTTGAGCAGGAGAATGGGTGCATGGCATGAGTTTGTGGGCCAGCTTCACCTCTGTACCCTTTCTTCTCTCATCCCTCCTCAAAAGCAGGGACAGGAGCTGGGAAGAACATCTATTTCACTTAAAAAACATGTAGCTCATTCACTGGTTGGCAGAACCCGAGGACAGATGCAATTAGTTTGCTAATAGGAGTTTAACATCTGGAAGACTTTGTTCCTAGACATGTCTGAACACCTGAAATCCAACCTATTGCTGAGGGCCTCCTAGAAGTGAACAAATTGGTGTCACTCTTTTGAGGAAAGTAGAGTGGGGCTGGTCTGTGTGATGTTGATATATGAGGCTGGATAAGTTTTTTAATCTTCTTGGGCTTTAGTTTCCTCACGTGCAAAATGAGAACAATAATCGTGCCTACTAATAACACATTTAAAGTTTTTTTGTATTCATGTCATTGCCATCATGCACAGTGCATGTATTTATAACTGGTATTAGAAAGCCACCTGCCAGGGGTTCTCTCACATCCAAGTTCTTCATTAAAATGGAGAGCAGCTTGTCACACCCCACTGCATGAGAGCCAATTGCTGCTCATTGAGGCACAGAAGACATAGGAGATCCAGCTGCCACAGCTCAGGGGTAGGCCTGGTATGTGATAAGCTGACCATCTACGCAGTATGTGGGAACATGGATTAACAGTGTAGCGCCAGGTTGTTCCATGAAAATTCCGACATCCTCATTTTTGTTTGTATAATCTCAGTATGACTGAAGGAAAAGAAGAGTTTTATTTAAGAGGAAAGCTCTTGTTGGCTCTGGTCCCTCTTTTGAAAACTTTCAGGAAATGAATTTGCCAAAACCAGCCTCCACACATCATTTTCCAATGCAATTATTAAGTAATTGCTTATTGTCACATTTCTTCAATAACAAAAACACTCCGTTTTAACATTATGTTAAATGCTTAACTCATTTTGTAAATTTATTATGGGGTATAATTTAAACATTTGTCATGCAATGAAGAGTTTTTAAGGGAATAGTAGACACCTCTGTTGCTGGCTTTTCAGAACACTACTACATTGTATGTATGGCAGGTACCACTGTTGACATTTATTGCTAAGGAAACAGCTGCTATCCTACCTTGGTCCTTGTGGCTGCTAGGACTTTTGGAATCTTCATTTGGAGATCTAAATGTGTGTTTTTTGTTTGTTTGTTTTTTGATGGTGAAAGAACTGAACACTGCTCACTCAGAGGACCTACTCAAATCAGAAGAGGAACCTTTTTATACAGAGAATTTAAATTTTTTTGTATGCATACAATTTTTGATTTAGTATCTGTAACAAATAGGATTTGTTTTTGAAGAAATAAAAGGAAATACCCGCCCCCCCAAAAAAGTGATTTCAACATGATAGAAATGTATCTCTCTCCTATAAAGAACTTTGGAGGGGTAAGCCAAGTATCAGAGGCAAGTTCACAGCATCAGGGATCCATCTTTGCCATTTTTGCTGCCTCTGCCAAGTTCAAGATGACTCTCTGAACACTGGCTGTCAGCTCTCATTTCTGCATTCTAGTTAGCAAGAAGTAAGATGCATGAAAGATTAGCCTCCTTTATGGGGTACTTTCTGGAAGCACATAACATTGGCCAGAACTTAGTCTCATGGCTATACTTAGCTGCAGTGGAGGCTGGCAAATATAGTCTATCCTAGGCAGTCCTATTCCACTGACCTCTTTTTCTTAGATTATAAAATTTAAAAAAAGATGACAATAGTCAACAGAACAATAGCGATCTTGTGTGAATGAATCAAAATTACACCTATTTTTTTGTTTGATCAGCAAAAAATATTTTTTTGGTGTGCTACAGAGTTTTAGTAATTAGTTTTTTATGTGTGCCATGAAATGAAAATGGTTGAAAATAGTTGATATAACCTAATACCTAGACATAGTGGTAGTAGTAACAGTAATAATAATACCTAATATTCATTGTGTATCTATCATAATTGGTACTTTACAAATAGAAGGTCCTTTCCCATTATGACCGTAAAATTTCTGCTCTCTCTGTGGAAGCTTCAGTAATGGCTGTTTGTTCGGAGTGGTTTCTAATTACCTAGATGGCTTTGGAAGTAATCCATGTGGAATTCTTCACAGTCTCTGAGCCCCAAAGGCCACCTATGAGGATATACATTCCTTAATAATTCAGAATCATAAATACATTTTTAAGTGAGCTAAACCTTTAAAGAGCCTATTTTGTAATTTAGAACTAGTAGCTAAACTGCGTAGAAATATTATTGTATTATTAAACTATCCACATTCTTTCTAGCATCTACTATTTGGGAATGTACTACTTATCAAGTATTTTAGTTTCAGATTTTTTTAGAAGTTTGGTGGAAGTTATTCAGTTAAACTAATTCAGCATTTAACTCTTTATTTCTCTTTTTCTTTCAGAAATGTGATGTATTATGGGAAGACTTCCATCAAAAGCTAGTGGATGGGTCTTTGCTGACACTGGATACCTATCTGGGCCAATTTCCAGACATAAAGGTATTTCAGTTTCTGTTTATAAATGGAAGAATTGAATGGCCCCAGGTACTTATTGAAATAAGAACAAGAGGAATAAAAAGTCAAAGACAATTGCTAACTTTTCATTTATTTGAGTATAGGATTTTTATGCTTTTCCTATCAGTTTGAAATGAAATGTAGTTACAGAAATCACATTTTCCCCTTGAATGAACTGCTTTAGCTTTTTATTTTTCTACAGAAGTCTTATTAATCCTATAGATATAAAATCAGAAGTCAGAGAGCAACCAAATTTTAATCTTTTTTGTGTTGAAACCTTTTTATTATATAGCATTTGACAAGAATTTCCACTAGAATAAGTTACAAGGAAAGGAGAAATTTCATTGCAAATGTGAGAGCACAGTGTGATCTTTCTTTGTGTACTGTTTATTTTTCATATGTTCATAGCACAACTGCACATTTTTTCTCTTCTGAAATTTTACAGTTCAAATTGAATTATAGTTGACCCACGAATAGCATAGGGGTTTGAGGCATCAACACCTCTATGGTCAAAAATCTACATGTAACTTTTGGTGCACCAAAACCTTAACTATAGTTGTCCTTTGGTACCCATGGGGGATTGATTTCCAGACCCCTTGTAGATAACAAAATCTGTGGATGTTCAAGACCCATAAATAAAATGGCATAGAGCAATGCATACAGTCGGCTCTCTGCCTCTGCAGATTTCTAACTACATATTGAAAATACTGTTTTTGATCTGTGTTTGGTTGAAATTGAAAATGCAAAATCAGAGGACAGAGATAGCCAACTATATGTTTATTGAAAAAATCTGTACATAAGTGGATTTTAAATGTTGTTAAAGGGTCAACTCAATTAAGTTATAAGCATTTCATATACCTTTGCATCTGTATCTAGAAGTATCTTGTCTAAAATATTTGCCTTATATGACAGTTGGATCATTGAAAGGGAAATGCACAGGTGAAGGTTTGAATATAGTAGATTTGGAGTTGACTCTGGAGGTAAATATGGTTTTTACTCCACCAAAAAACTACTAAATCTAATAAATGAATTCAGCAAAGGAGCAGAATACAAAATCAATACTCAGAAATTGATGGCATTTTTATACACCAATAATGAGCTATTAGAAAGAGAAACTAAAAAAGCAATCCTGTTTACTATTGCAATAAAAAAAAAAACTATGTAAGATACCTAGGAATAAATTTAACCAAGGAGGTAAAGACCTGTACTTGGAAAACTTGGAGAAAAAGTGGGGACAACTGTGATAGCATAAACAATGAAAAAAGATGGTTTTAAAGCCATTTGGATTGTATATAGCAAATGGTATTAATAGAGCTGTCTCACTACCCCCAGTTTTTTTCCCTGATCTAAGAAGAGTGCCAGGTAAGACAGCCACATAAATTTCTTTCTTGGGCTGTGAAGGTCATGAACCAGCATCTGTGGGCATCTGCAGTATCTTGTTAGGTGACTTCTCATGGGAAGTTCCATTCTTGCCTGGCCTTGGCCATGAAACATGGTGAAGTTTCTTGGCCAAGACAGCACTCATTCATGTCAATAAATTAATTTCCTTGGGCCCACATACAATGCCTAGTGCTAATTGGCTAACATTTCAAGAGTGTATTTTGAGATACCTGGGGCACCAAGAAGAACTGAAGTGGATCAGACTAGATACATTTGCCTTTTTGGTAAGAAGTCAAAGAGAACAAATTCAAATGATAGAATCTCAATGATGTTATCATAATAGGCAGCAGCAGGGTTTCTTGAGCCATTGCATAAATGCATTCAATCACAAAGTATATGTCAGTTTTTAATTTTCTGAGAAATTAAAAAATTAAGTTTTTAAAAAATTCTGTAAGACTACACGCACTAGCCTACATATTTTAGGTTATCTTTAAATTATTTGATAGATATTTAAATCTTATCTTGGAATTTGTAGCATTTGTGAAGCGATTGGTCTCAGAATCATTATCACATTGCAGAATATCATTTAATGAATGAATATTTAATCTTCATAAGAATAAATTCCTACTCTCAACAGTGGATAGAGCTTCCAAACAAAAAAATCAACAAAAATACTGCAGCATTAAATGACACTCTATATCAAATAGACTTAATTGATATTTACAGAACATTTCACCCCAAAGAAACAAAATATACATTCTTCTCAAATGCACATGGGTCATTGTCACAGATAGACCACATAGTAGCTCATTAAACAGGCATTAACAGATTGAAGAAAATTGAAATCATATTAAGCATCTTCTTGGATTACAATGGCTTGAAACTAGAAACCAACCTCAAGAAAAAAAAAGTCAAAACATTCAAATACATGGAGGCTGAGTAATACCCATTAAACCCATTAAATAATGAATGGGTTAACAAGATCAAGGAAGAAACCAAAAAGTTTCTGGAAACAAACGAAAATGAACACATACCAACCTAAAACCTATGGAACACAAGGGTACTCCTGAGAGGGAAGTTTATGGCAAAACATGTCTACCTAAAGAAGAAAGGAAAATCTCAAATAAACAACCTAACCCCAAATCAACAAGAACTAGAAGAACAACAACAAACAAGGCCCAGAGTGAGTAGAAGGAAAGAAATAATCAAGATCAGAGCAGAATTAAATGACATAGAGACAGAAAAAACAGTTCAAAGGATCAATGAATCCAGGAGCTGGTTCTTTGAAAATATAAAAATTGACAAACTGTTAATCAGAGTCATCAAAAAAAAAAAAAAGAGGACCCAAATAAATAAAATCAGAAATGAAAGAGGAAAGGTAACAACTGATACCATAGAAATACAGAGGATTGTAAGAAATTATTATAAACAATTATATGCCAAGAATTTGGACAACTTGGGTGAAATGGATAAATTACTAGGAAGACACAATCTTCCAAAACTGAATCAGGAAGAAGCAGAAAACCAAATAGACCAATAATAACTAGCAAAATGGAAACTGTAATAAAAAAACTCCTGGCACGCAAAAGCCCTGTACCAGATGCTTCACAAGTTAATTTTACCAAACCCCCAGAGGAAAACTAACACCTATTCTTCTCAAACTATTCGGAAAAAATCAGGAAGAGGGAAGACTTCCCAGCTCTTTTTACAAGACCAGTGCTACCCTAATTCCACAACCAGGTAAAAACCCAACAAAGGAAGAAAATTACAGGCCAATATCTCTGATGAACAAACATAGATGCTAAAATTCTCAACAAAATATTAGCAAACCAGATCCAGCAATACATTAAAAAGATCACATACCATGATCAAATGGAATTCATCCCAGGGTGCAATGATGATACAATATTCACAAATCAATAAATGTAATACATCACATAAACAAAATGGGGGAATGAAAATCACATGATCATTTTAACAGATGCTGAAAAACATTTGATAAAATCCATCACTCATTTATGATAAAAACACTCAGCAAAGTGGGAATAGAGGGAGCAACCTCAACATTATAAAGGCCATATTAAAAAAACCTATTGCCGACATCATACTCAATGGGCAAAACCTAAGACTATTCCCTCATATCAGGAACAAAACCTGATAAGTAAATTTGGCAAAGTAGTAGGATACAAAGTAAATATTCAGAAATCAATGGCATTTTTATACACCAATAATGAGCTATCAGAAAGATTTTAAAAAATCCCATTTACTCTAGCACCCAATAATAATGATGATGATGATGATGATGATGATGATAAAATATCTAAGAATAAATTTAACCAAGGAGAGAAAAGACTTGTACTTGGAAAACTATAGAACACTGAAGAAAGAAATTGAGGAAGATACAAATAAATGGAATCATATATCGTGTTCATGGACTGGAGGAATCAACATCTTTAAAATGTCCATACTACCCAAAGCAATCTATAGTGTCAATGCAATTCCTATTCAAATACCAATAGCATATTTCACAGACCTGGAATAAATATTCAAAAGATTTATATGGAACCAAGAAAGACCCCAAATAGCATCAGGAATCTTGACAAAGAAGAGCAAAGTTGTGGGGATCACAATACCTGATATCAAACTGTAATACAAGGCCACTGTAATCAACACAGTCTGGTACTGGCATAAGAACAGGCACATAAATCAATGGAACAGAATAGAGAACACAGAAATAAACCCATGTTTCTATGGTGAATTACTATTTAACAAAGAAGGACATGAGCATACAATGGAGTAAAGATAGTCTCCTGTAAAAATGGTGTTTGGAGACAGGACTGGTACAAGCAAAAAAAAATGAAAGTAGATCACCAACTTACACGATACACCAGAATAAACTCAAAATGGATAAAAGACTTAAATATAAGTTATGATATCATAAAATCCTAGTGGAAACATAGGCAGTAAAATTTCAAGTATCTCTTGTAGCAGTATTTTTACTGTTATATCTCCTAGGGCTAGGGAAATAAAGGAAAAAGAAACAAATGGGACTACATCAAACTAAGAAACTTCTGCATGGCTAAAAAAACCATCATCAAAATGAAAAGGGTACCAACTGTAGGGAAGAACATATTTGCAAATGATACATCAGACAAGGGTTTAATATCCAAAATACATAAAGAACTCATATGACTCAATACCAGGAAGACAAACAATCCAATAAAAAAATGAACAAAAGACCTAAGTAGACACTTCTCCAAGGAGGACATACAGATGGCTCTTAGACATGAAACAATGCTCAACATCATTACCCATTAAAGAGATGCAAATTAAAACCAGAATGAGTTATTACTATACACCTTCCAAAATGGCTATCATTAATTAATAATTCATTAATAAATCAATGTACAACAAGTGCTGGTAAGGCTGTGGAGAAAAGGGAACCCTAGTGCGTATTGGTAAGAATGCAGACTGGTGCAGCCAGTGTGGAAGACTATATGGAATTTCCTCAAAAAATTAAAAATGGAGTCAAATGCTCTGAAAATATCAATTAAGTCCATTTGATCTAATGTGTCATTTCAGGCTGCTGTCTCCTTGTTGATTTT